ATGTTGACCAGGATGGTCTCGATCTGTTGACCTGGTGATCCACCCGCCTCGGCCTCCCAAAGTGCTGGGATTACAGACTTGAGCATCTTTTTTATTTTTAAAGAGACAGGTTGCCTAGTCTGGAGTGCAGTGGCTGTTCACAGATGTAATTACTGCACACTGCAGCCTGGAACTTCTGGGCTCAAATGACTCTCCTGCCTCAACCTCCCAAGCAGCTGGGACTACACGTGCATTCCACCACATCCGGCTAGTAACACACTTTTTGAAGGCAAAAATAGTCATAAACATACATATATCAGAAGAGAATGCTAAAAAAATGGAATTGCTCTGTAACAGAAAAAAGACAAGTCTTGTCATAAAGAGAAAAGAATTAAATTGCCCAAAATCCTATTTAACCATTTAATTGTGTTGACTATAAAAGTAATATACTTTTATATATAAACATTAGGAAAAAACTACAGGACTTTTCAAGATCATCCACAGTCACAACTAAAAATTTGGTCAATTAATGTCTAAAAGTTTCATAACTATTAACATTTTTAGAAGTATGCTTTATCAAGCTAAGAAAACTCCCATTTCTAATTTGTAAACATGAATAGGAATGTTATAGAAAGCTCTTTCTATATCTGTAATGATTGTAAAGTGCTTCTTAAATATGATTTTGCAGTATCTTATGCTAACAGATTTTCTGTAGTGGAATCATCCTTGAATGTCTATAATAAAATTTAACTAGTTTTCTTTTTGAAATGGAGTTTCACTCTTGTCACCCAGGCTGGAGTGCAGGGGTGTGATCTCGGCTCATTGCAACCTTTGCCTCCCAAGTTCAAGTGATTCTGTTGCCTTAGCAAGCTGAGATCATAAACACGCGCCACCATGCCCAGCTAGTTTTTCTATTTTTAGTAGAGACAGGGTTGCCCCATGTTGGCCAGGCTAGTCTCAAACTCCTGACCTCAGGCAATCTGCCTGCCTCAGCCTCCCAAAGTGCTAAGACTACAGGCGTGAGAACCGTGCTTAGTTATGTTTTTGTGATTTTGTTTTTAATAAACCACTGAACTCTAGTTTGATATTTTATTTATAACTTTTGCATCTATGTTTATAAGAGTGGTATGAACTTCTCTTTCATTATCCTCGTTCAATTATGGTATAAAATAAGCTCAGTGTTCTTTATTAAAGAAACTAAAGGTTAGGATTGGATTTTTTTTCTAATTCACTGTTATTAAAAACAATACACATTCCAATGGACTGGTGGAAGAAAAGGAAAAACAACACTGAAACGAACATCAGAAATCTTTGACAATATTCTGATTTTTTCCTTAGGATGAAAGATCAAAAATGTGTTTACATGGTCAGAGTACCACCTTAGGAGAGTCCTTGTAATTTATGTATATGAAAATAAATTTTACATTCCTATACATTTATGTGTAATTATTATAATACTGTCATTTTAGACCCCATAGCCCTCACATTTAACTTTACAGAACTCCATCCTTTACTTTTAACTTTACAGAATGTTTAACACTTCAGAGTCCTTTACTTTTAACCTTACAGAACCCCATCCCTACTGCAGTTTCAATTTTGCTTTATTGTGGATAATATATTGAAAGCCTTTTCCTTACGTCTGATTCTTTGCCTAAATATAAACTGCCATTCTGGCTTCATGACCAAATTGTCTCCCATTCCTCAGACTCAAAAATGTTTGAGGTGAAAAAGCTTCCTGAAATTTTTTATTATACCTCACTGTAGCTTTTATTGAGGTTAAGTTCTACCTATAAATTACTCTGTCACCATAGAAAATGCTGGGAAGGAAGCAACAGTGACATATCTGTAACTACAGTTCTAAACTGCCAGAGGCAACAAGAGTATTAAGGTGAGGGGAGTGGGAGTACCAGAGGCAGGACTATGTTTCTGCCCTAACTTTAACCCCCCTCTAATATTAAGGGGCTGAGAGAAGAGGGGAGGAACTGTTCAGTAAACAAAACGTTTCAACAGAAAACATTTTCCATTTCTTATAATTAAGTAATTTGTTTCCTGTTCTTCATCAGTTGAACTTTATTGTTTTTGACTTATAAAACCATAAAGGTACTTTATTAACATTTTACTTGCAATTTTGAGTAAATGTGCTTACATTAAATCCACTGTGTATCACATTTTGAATAATTCTGTTTAAGCTAAGGTTTGGATTTATCCATAACAGACCTTTTCCATCCCACTCCCCATCTTTTACACTCTACATATAAATGAGTTCCCTGAATTCCAACTAAATTTCTTATGTTTGTTTTGTAGTTAAAAAATCACTAATAATCTGACAAAACTTAGTTGTTCTACTAAAAACAAACTTTAAAAATATGACACCAAGCTATAGTGTGCAAAAAGTTAAAAAAATTTTTATAGACCACGATCAATAACAAATCTCAATTTTGCAACATCTAAAATCATCAATCAGGTGAAAGGGCAGAAAAAAAAGTGTTTTTAATGATGAAGCAGCTCTAGTATATGAGCGCTCAGAGAGCTCTATCTCCAAACGAGGCTGTAAAAAAAAAAAAAGCGGGGGCGGGGGTGGTGGGGGGAATAAAGAGTCATGATGAAGTTGACCTCAGACCTCCACAGGTTAAATATCAGCACTGGCCAATTTTAATACTGTTGTACTTCCTTAAAAGATTAGACCCTCTCAGGCTCTGTTCTGTGGATAACCTCACTGCAATGAACTTGAGCCTTGTTGAAGTTGTGCAAAAACATGGCTCTATCTCTGCCTGTATCACATAGCTTCCTTCGATCAAGTGATAACCTACTAACTGGTCTCCCAGCCTCCATTCTTGACAGCCTCACAAGGGGTTTTCTCACTGCAGCCCACATTACAATTGAAATTAATCTGACTTCTGAGCCTTCAGACCCTAAGGCACTTCAATGGCCCCAACCTCACCAGTCACCCTCCGGTTAAGTGTGAACTCTCACACGGCATGCAATGACTCCTTACTACCTCTATACACTCACCTCGGCCACTTACCACCCCTTACTTTATACTCTAAGGACACCAACTTGCTTGGAACACTTCACCAGTCAAAACCACTGCGCTACATGTGATGAAACAGGCTTCTCCTCTAATTCCTCCTTTACCCTACTCAACTCAAGCACCAGTATTCCTCCAGAAGGAAACTTTCCACAAGCCTCCTCCCCAGGTAATCCCCGAGCATATTTCTAATATCTACCATGCCTTAACTTCTTCTTTTTTAAAAAAATTGATATCCCTTACTAGAAAGCAAGCAGTTTAAAAGCAAACATTATATCTTAACTCCAGTGAGGAAGAGCACACCAGGCACATAATAGGCATGTGATAAGTGGTCACCTAACTTAAATGCCAGGTACTACACAATGAAAAATAGAGCCTGACTTCTCAGCCAGTTCACCAGCAAATCCTCAGTTCCTCTTCTAAAACCTATGCACTGGCACAGCCACCACACAGTCCAGCCTCTATCATCTTGCATTTAGATTACTCAGACTCCTAATTTTCCTGCTTCTATCTGCCCTACTACACACATACCATTATGCCCTCATTTGTCTCCAGCAGCCCAGAAAAACCTTGGTTAAAATGTGAATTTTGAAAATCCTCTTTAAAATCCATCAGAATAAACTCATTTTCTTCCTGTTATATTTAGACTAACATCTGAACTCTCACCATGCCCTAGGATGTCCTATAGAAGCTTTGAACAAGCCCATCTATTCTGGGCTCCTTTTAATTCTTCTAATACAAGAAGCCCACCTCAGTGTCTTCACACTTTCTCTTCCCTCAGTTAGCTGCTGCTTCTCGAAGCTCTGCTCAAGCAATACAATCCAAGCCAAAGCAGCTTTTTAATTCTTCATATTATTCTATCATATCACTGCATTTGGTTGCCTTCTTTGCACTCATCATATCAAATTACAATTAATTTGTTTACTTGTTTACTGTGTATTTCTGTCCCTTAGGAAGGCAGGAGTTTTGTGTTTTGTTCATCACTGTAACTCCATATGTCTAGAAACAGTGCCTTCTACACAGCAAACACTCAATAGGCATTTGTAAAACAAATGAACAAATTAAAAAAGAAATCTTTAAGATATACACAAAACAAGTAAGGGAAAGTAATGGATGGTCCACCAAACAAGGCAAGAAATATTCTACTGTTAGTATTTGCAGCTAGACAGGCTGTGCTCGTGTTATTGGAATCTATTATCCAACAAGCATCAAAAGTGTCCTTCTCAAAGCTCAAAGCCAAGTAGAATGGTTTCACACGCTATATGCTAGTCCACATTATATCACTGCAAACAATCATTTTAGAGAATTCTACATTTCTTACAGTCCCCCCAAAACCTGTAATGTATACAAGTAGTAGTAAAACATATTTAAAAACACCTGCCACTTTATTAAAAAAATAAAATACTATGACAGTGGTACTTATCTGTAAATGATTTAATTTATCCTCAGAAAACTTCAGCCTTTTAAAGTAACAGGTCCTCCCAACCTAAGACGTAGGTCTTTAAGACAGGTCTGACTAATGTTTACAACATTTAAGAAGCCACCGAACTCACTGTTCTTTTGGAAGTAATGCTGCCACTCAAAGAAAAACCATATAAAACTCATTAAAAAGTGAGCAGCCTCTTTTCACCCAACTGATAAAAGTTTTGACCAAGGGAGGAGAAACCATAGGTTGCTACTATGTTAGTGGTAGAAAAAGCTTCCATTCTTTATTCAAGTATCATTCAATCACAGAAATGAAGATAACATACAAATTTAGGCAACGAAGATAATAAATCTAAGTAACTTGTTAAGCTTGATTCAACCTTCTCACTGTTCAAGATAATGATTTCTAAAACAAATCAGCTAATAAAAACAATTTATACAACAAGGTTAAAAACAGTCATATTTTAATCATCACTTTTTACAGGCGACTTGAACACAAATTCAGTAACTTTCCCTCAGATTCCTTTACACAATTTGATCATCACACTTGGGATCTAACAAAACTTACCTTGGTATGGTAACACATTTAGTATTACAGTTTTGAGTGGTGATGGCTTTCTCAAGCTCATCTAATCGTCCTGTTTTCTTCAGCTTCTTCACCAGACTTTTCACTGCTTTCTCACACCACTTTTCTTCCTGCCCATTCTGCTCTCCTCCGCCTGCTCCTCCAGACCCACCAGCTGACTTCTTCCATCCCAGCAGTCTCTTCACAACTGGCGGCGTGAATGGCAAGATGGACGACATGTTCTTACCAAAGGCAGCAAGCCACGCTAGGAAAACAGCCTCTTGTATCGAACCTAGCAAAGATATTGAAAGGATCATGTAGAGACTAACTTGAATACCAAGAAATAATTTCAACGTATCATAGAAAGCAAACTGTAAAACCAGACAGAAATTCAAATTATGACTTTCCCAACAGATTTCCCAACCCATGAAAAAGTTATCTTTATGAATTTAAATGAATTATGTAAACAAACTAGTCTAAAAAACAAGCCAATGTTATAAGGACTTGTCTCGTGGGCAAACACAGTAATTTTGCAAGTAAAATCAGATACTTCTAACAATGTTTCTCTACCAATACTAAACTCTTAAAATTGTCAATTAAAATATTTTCACAAAAAAAGGTTTTCTCACTTTTTAGAACTTTAATCTACTCTCAAAAGACTATACAAAAATACATTGAAAATTTATAAGCCCACTCTCCCCCAGGTTTTAAACTTTCGTAACTACCAGGAGGCAAAATCTATAGTTACAAGAAGGGAAAATGCATAAACTGTGAAAAAATCAAGAACAAAGAAATAAACACGGCAAACTGCAGAGAAAAGCTGTAGTCCACTTTCACCTGCCCTTGAAAGAAACTTTTTATACTTTTTTCATTTTCATCTAAATTTGCTTAGTGAGTAAAGTTAGAGGGTTTCTCTTCCCAATTTAAGGAATAACCTGTCTTCTCCACAGGAGTCATTTTTATTAAGCTGTTTTGTCTATTCAGTGTCATTTTACAAATATAAACATGGTCACATATCTATCCACATTCCCACCACCTTATTCCTACATAAAAGTAGCATAGCATACCTTGATTTTGTATACCTTGACATTTTTTTTTTTTTGCTTAATTTGCTGTAAGTCATTCCTTATAAGTTCACACAGAATTTAGAAAGCACTGTCCCCTCAACTTCCTAGAATCCACTACTGATAAGTCTAACATAACTTTTATTCCTGATCCTTTGATTAAAAAGTGATTTGCTCCAGAATCTCTTAATATCTTATCTGTGGTTCTGAAATTTCATAATGTTCTAAGAGGGTATGCAGTGTTTATTCTTTTTCTCATCAACTGTTCTGAGCACTTAATTGATACTAAAATTCTATGAGTCTTGTTTTTATTATTTCTTTGATTATTTTCTTCCCTATTTTCCCTGTAGTCTCTCGTGGAACTTAAGATTTCAGCCTTCTAGTATTGCTGTATCAGTTAAGACATTTCTATTTGTGATTCACATTCCAAGATCTGAGTAACCTCTCCTTCCTCTAGTGTTTCCGCTCTCATTCCTTACCTCTTATGCTTTTCTTTCTTTGCCAATTTTAGTGAGATATAGAAAAAAGGAAAATATGTGTTCAATCTGCATATTTAATAAAGTTCCCAAAAGCATCCTTTTTAGAAAGTAAAGAGGTCTTTACATCACACACCCCAAATACTGCAACTGCAGTTTTCAAAGTGTATCTTTATGAATACAATCATGCTTACATTTTCATGAGTTTGTTCCTTAATAATAATGATCAGACAACAGTTTCTAAGCACACTTTGCATATACTCTTAACATTAAATAAGATCCAGCTGGGTGTGGTGGCTCATGCCTGTAATCCCAGCACTTTGGGAGGCCAACACGGGTGGATCACAAGGTCAGGAGATGGAGACCATCCTGGCGAACATGGTGAAACCCCATCTCTACTAAAATACAAAAAATTAGCCAGGAGTGGTGTCGTGCAACTGTAGTCCCAGCTACTCAAAGCCTGAGGCAGAGGAATCACTTAAACCTGGAAGGTAGAGATTGCAGTGAGCCGAGACTGTGCCACTATACTCTACCCTGGCAACAGAGTGAGACTCCACCTCAAAAAAAAAAAAAAAAAAATCCTAACACAAGATGAAAAGTTATTCCCCATCAAAGAACTGGCTAATTTTCATAGATAATCTGCTGAGTTTCACTTCCAATGTACACAAAGTGCATTCCTACTCTGACCTCTCCGTAATTCCAATATTTTGGTTTAAAAAGAAATATATACATTAGGCACACACCACATAAAAGAATAATTTTTTAATATTCCCTCTTCTCAGGAGGGTCATGACAGTGAAGAATACTGACATGATTAAAATACACATGACAAATAAGATAAATTGTAATGGGAATTACAGGTACACAAAGAAACAACACCTAACTTTGCCTTAGGTGTCAGTAAAGGTTTTCCTGAGGAAACATTTGCACCTCCTTAAAAGGCAGCTTGCCATTTATTCATTCCTTCTTGCATTCAACAATTTTTTTTTTGGCCCATCTATTGTGCCTGTATTTACCTGTTTATTCTCAAATCCATTCTGTATTACTCATCTGCAAACTACACTTTTGAGCTGGGGCTGGTAGGAAGAAGAGAAACCCTTTGTAGCAAGGTACTGGCAGTGGGGGATGGGGAGTAAGTGGCAAATTTCTAAGGGCAGAGAGATCAACCAGCAGAGAATTGCAATACACAGAAGGAAAGAATAGGTATTAGGGAGACAGAATAGAGTTAAGGAAAGGTTACAATTACAGGTTCTTGCTTGAAAACCCAGTTGAATGAAAATACAATTGGGGGTAACGATCCAAGATGGCTGATCGCTAACATCTCGGGATTGCAGCTCCCAGTGAAAGAGCAGAGGAGGAGAGGACGCCACACTTTCAGACAAATTTTGGTCGCTCATGGAGCAGAAGATTCCCAGTGGAGGAGCCACACGGGTCGCCAGCGCAACTCTAGTGGCCGGCGCAGCGGTTTTGCCGGCACCTCAGCGCGGCAGCTCTTGGTGCAGAGTAAACGGGACTGGTTCCCCTTCTGACCGAGGTTTGGAGCTCTGGGAAGGCAGAGTCGCCTATTACGGACTCAACAAGGAAGCCAGACTGGAGATTCCCGGGGAAGAAAAGCACCATCAGTCTTAACGCCACTGTTTTGACCGGCGCAGTGGGTTGCTCATATTTCAGCCCTGGGAATTAACAACTTGGACGTCCACTCAGAGACCTAATTTGAAAGTTGGTAATTACAAAGACAACAGGTGGATAAATTTACAATGATGGGAAGAAACCAGCGTAAAAAGGATGAGAATACTCAAAATCTGAATGCCTCTCCCTCTACAGAGGATCATAGTTCCTAATTAACAAGGGAACAAGGCTTGATGGAGAATGAGCACATCCCATTAACAGAATCAGGCTTCAGAAGATGGATAATAAGAAACTTCTGTGAGTTAAAAGAACATGTTGTAGCCCAATGTAAAGAAACTAAGAACTTTGAAAAAAGGTTTGATGAAATCCTAATGAGAATAGACAACTTAGAGAGGAATATAAGTGAATTAATGGAACTGAAGAATACAATACAGGAACTCCAAGAAGTATGCACAGGTTTAAACACTCGAATTGTTCAAGCAGAAGAAAGGATATCAGAGGTCGAAGTTCAACTTAATGAAATAAAACGAGAAGACAAGATTAGAGAAAAAAAGGATAAAAAGGAATGAGCAAAGTCTCCAAGAAATGTGGGACTATGTGAAAAGATCAAATTTACGTTTGATAGGTGTACCTGAATGCGACGGAGAGAATGAATCCAAGCTGGAAAATATTCTTCAGGATATTATTCAGGGAAAATTTTCCTAAACTAGCAAAGCATGACAATATTCAACCCCAGGTGATACAGAGAACATCACAAAGATATTCCTCAAGAAGAGCAACCCCAAGGCACATAATCGTTAGATTCACCAGGGTTGAAACCAAGGAGAAAATACTAAGGGCAGCCAGAGAGAAAGGTCAGTTACCACAAAGGGAAGCCTATCAGACTTACAGCAGATCTCTCAGCAGAAACTCTACAAGCCAGAAGAGAGTGGGGGCCAATATTCAACATCCTCAAAGAACAGAACTTTCAGCCCAGAATTTCATATCCTGCCAAACTAAGCTTCACAACTGAAGGAAAAATAAAATCTTTTATGAACAAGCAAGTACTCAGAGATTTTATCACCACCAGGCCTGCTTTACAAGAGCTTCTGAAAGAAGCATTACACATAGAAAGAAACAACTAGTATTAGCCTTTCTAAAAATATACCAAAAAGCAAAGAGCATCAACATAAAGAAGAATTTACATCGACGAATGGATAAAACAGCCAGTTAACATCAAATGGCAACATCAAATTTAGGTAACCCTAAATTTAAATCGACTAAATCCCCCAATCAAAAGATACAGCCAAAACCCAACGGTATGCTACATCCAGACCCACTTCACATGCAAGGATGCACAAAGACTCAAAACAAAGGGATGGCGAAAGATTTACCAACCAAATGGAGAGCAAAAATAAATAAATAAATAAAAAGCAGGAGTTGCAATTCTCGTATCTGATAAAATAGATTTTAAAGCAACAAAGATATAGTGGTAAAAGGATCAATGCGACAACAAGAGCTAATGATCCTAACACCCAGATACATAGAGACTTAGACTCAATGAGACAGAAAACTAATAAGGATATCCAGGACTTGAACTCAGATCTGGAACAAGTAAACTTAATAAATATTTATAGAGCTCTCCACTTTAAATACACAAAATATACATTCTTGTCAATACCACATCATACCTACTTATAGGTTTAAATGAAATATTGATTGGCCATGATTAATACCCCCTTTTTTTTTTTTTAGAATAAAGCAACATTTCCGTTCTCTCTCCCTCTTTTTCTTCCTCTTTCTTCCTCTCCTTCACTTTTTTTTTCTTTCCTTCTCTCAAAAAAAGAAAAAAAGAAATCAACTTGTAGACCTCTAGATCCAGGTCGGCAATGTCTCTCTCATTGCCTGATTTCCTTCCTTCCCTTCTCTCCCTCCTTCCCTCCCTCCCTCCCTCCCTCCTTCCCTCCAAAAGAAATTAATTAATTAATTTAAAAAAGAAAATACAATTAGGCAAAATATGAAGTTATTCGGGGAACACAAGTGTTATGTTAGTCAAGCTAAATTTGCTGTGACTACGAAATTCCAGAAGGAGGTGTCCAAAAACCAGGTCGAGACAAAGGTCTGAAGCTGAGCAGAGAAATAAA